CACGCACGCACGCACGCACGCACGCACGCACACACACACACACACAATATGTTTTACTAATATGTGAGGGTCTTCACATATATTAATTTCCTCATTCTGAAAGTATGCATAAAATGCAGTCATACAGTTATAACAAAGAAACAACTGTTTGCAAAGTTGTCTGTTTTCTGTTTCTGTCATATGAGAGCTTCATGCACTAGTTCTGTGCATGTTCTGCAGCTTTCCAGTTCTAAGGCTGAGGCCCAGACAGACCTGCATACTCAGTGTCCTGGGTCTGGTTCACTTTGTTGTTGTCGACAGGTTGGTTCTGCGATTGTAATCTGTGGAGGAGGAGGTCTTGTTTCTGAAGCCGGCCCTTCAGGAGATTCTCCTGTTCCCTCAGACGAGCCACCTCCTCATTGCAAGTGTGTAACGCCTACACACACCCACACACACACACACACACATTAACTTCCATTTTCTCCCTATATATGTGAGGGTCTTCATTCATATTCATTACCTCATTCTGAAATGAAACATGCATGAAATGGAAAGTATACATACAGTAATAAGAAAGAAACAAACATGTCTCATTGAAAACAATAGCATTTGTTATTGTTGCAATTGTTTTACTTTATTTCACTGCAGTAGATCTACTGGTACTTTTTCTTAAAGGAATTGTGGTAAATATAATTGTCCAGCAGAATGGATCAAAATGTTGTCAATAAGCACCTGATTATAAAAACTGATACACTGCAGAATGTTACATTCAACTCTCCCTGCAACACATTTCACATTTGTAACATTAACTTAAAATTAAATGAACTAAATGCTCAGCTAAGCTAGCCAGAAGGTGACTGTAGTTACATATTTAACATACAGATGTGAGTGGTATTAGTCTTTGGCTACTTATAGAACCCAAATCTAATAATTTCCTAATGTAAAAAGTTAAAAATCTTTTCACTTTTCCTTGAACTAGTCCTGCAACTTAAGACTCTAAATTCACAATCTCCAAGTACCATATAGTAAATATACTGATAGTGCTATAGATATACTTAAATCTATACTTAACTAGATATGTCAAAAGATACAATGAACACAGTACATTAAGGTAGAGAAGGAGAATGCATTTCTACACATGTACATACAAACACAAAGTGAAACAGATCTGTTAAATTGAAACATTTCCGAATTAGAAACTCACACAGAGAGACTGAGAGCAGGCAGTGATGACCATCAGTCCCATGAGCAGCTGCAGTGGGCCTCTCATCCTCGTCTCCTTTCAACAGCAAGTCAAAGAAAAAGGAGAGATCTACCTCTCAAAGCTGAGTCTTACACTGTTTTACTTTTTCTTTCCCAACAGTGCATTGGATTTTCCCCACACCAACCTTTGAAACCAAGACTGACAAAATACCAGATTCTCTACAGTCGTAAAATGGATGAAATATGCAGGGAGGGTCTGGAACACATTTGTCAAAACTGGCTGTTCTTTTTGGGAAAAATCTATGTTGTGGTATCATGCGTAACAGAAGAAAATAGCCAATAGGTGTGATTCACGATGATAATATTCCTCTCGAAATCATGAGTTTGATCAGAGATGATGCCAACATTAAAAAATCTAGTGTTGTTCAACGTTGCCTCTGTGTTCTGCCGTCTCTCCTTTTCTCATCACTCTCGTCTGTTCCTGCTCATCTGCCTCACACTCTCCTCGACTGTCATTAAAAGACTTGAGTGGTAATTCAGCTGATGAGCAGTCAGTGCTGTGAGGAGCGTAATGCCACTGAAGGTCACCTCCAAACAGCACAAGAAGAGGCAGAGCAGAGGGAGATCATTTATCTCAGAGGATCACAAAGAAACCTGAGCGAATAAAGTGGCTGTTGCTGATTATTCAAAATAGAGATGGCACAAGTAAGCTATTGTGTGTTGTGTAGATGGTTAAATATGAAAAGTCATAAAAATGCATATTACTGAGCTATTCCTTCACCAAATATGAAAATGTTTCTTGACTTGATGATACATCACAATATGTGAATTCATAGTTAATTAAGACATAATTCAAATCACAAATCTTGCCTCATCAGGTTAGTGAGGAGATTCAGTATCTATATTTATATCTTTGTATAAATAGATGACACCATAACTTGTCCCACCATGGGCCAGTTTAACAACAAGATTCCAATAAGGTTGGGAATCAAACCCACACGTGCAGAGCACAATGAATTAGCAGTCCATAACCATAACCCCTTTGCCACCTTGTCCTTCTTATGTCATGGGCCGTGTTACTGTAAACTCCTCTGTGACTTGTATATCTACAGATATATGTGTATATTGAACCCATTCGTTTTGTGTCAAATTGAGTTTCCTTGACTTTGTCTGACTTTCTTGCACTAAAGAAATATTGTTACTGGTCTTAGCATGTATAGATATATGTGTGTATGGATACATGGGAATGTAATCTGAACATATCAATAAGAAAAATTGAAACTGCAGCTTTATTGTAATTTACCTAATTGAAACATTTACAAATATCAAACATATTTTAAATTATAAATGAATCTGAAAATACTAGGTTTCATGAAGGAAAAGCCATAATGCAATATAATGAATCAGTCTTTGTTTAAAAACAGTTTTGTTTTGTCCAGTCATCTGTGTGATTGGCAAAATATTCCATCCTATTCCATCCTGTTGTAGGCTGTCAGGGCTTCATCTCCTGAGGTCGTTGCACTGATCAGTGACACACACACATGCACACACACACAGAGTTGGATTTGTTAATATTCAGGCATTTGGGCTTAGTTGAGTACCATTTTACATTTTATTCATATTTATATCTAAAATCAATCAGGTCTGTCACAAAGGTCTTCACAATATTAATTTAGCAAAACAGTTGCGTTAACTGTAACATTATTATTCAGAAATCTAAGTGGGCTATAATTAAAGAACTGGTGTTGCAAATGCCGAAAACACGTAAGTTCTATCCAACTATTTTGAAATAGTAAATGATGTATCCTGCCTCTTTACCAGGAATTTCAACTCTGTAACAAGGTTTGGAGTCCTTGTTTTTTGCTTGATAGCACAGTGCCAGAACATTTCTCAGAATGTGGTCATGAGTTATTTATAAAAATGAACTGCCCCTTTTTAAACCTCCCTGCCTCCATCATATCTGCTGCGCACTCAGAAAGCAGATAATACTAAAACTGAAACTTCTCCAATATGGAATATTGATTTCACTTTGTGACACTTTGAATATTTCAAAATAACTTTTGCACCTTAACAATCAACCGTATCACATTATCAGTCATTATTACCTCCATCATCTTGCCTGTTCACACTCACCTTCAGGATTCTAACTCTGACTTCCTCTGGTAACTCTGGGTTTCCCTTCTTCTTGTTACTGTTTCTCCGGCTTTATGTACAGGAGGAGGAGAGGAGAGGAGAGGAGAGGAGAGGAGAGGAGAGGAGAGGAGAGGAGAGGAGAGGAGAGGAGTAACATGTTATAAATATTGAATCCATCCCCTGACTTCTTACCTGTATTGCCCTATTACCTTTGGTTTGTAACGGCTCTGTCCACTGTGAGGTGTCAGGATCATCTGGTTGAGTGTCATCAGACTTCTTGTAGTAATACTGGTCATCAGGAGGCCCAAACCGCTACACACACACACACACACACACACACACACACAATTAGTGCTTTATAGCTAGACCACACACACACACACAGAAAAGCTGTCTGTACCATGTCAGGCCACATGATGCTGATGAAGAGAATGATGGGAAGTCCAACTGTGAAGATATAGACACCCCAGAGCCATGGACGCTGGTTGGTGGCCAGTAGCAGGCTCTCTATGATACCTGGCTACAGCAGACATATACAAAATGTACATGTATACACATCTGTTATATGATAACAGTGAATCCAGTCAGATGCCCTAAGCAGCCAGGAAGAATCCTGGCATCACTAGAGGTGACAGATAATAATAATAATACCATCACCACAAAATGATCACATGAAAGAAAAAACAAGTAAAGGATCTGAATAAACAATAATAATACAAAAGAAATTTTAAAAAGAAATGGGGAAGAACATAATTCAGGGACAAGACCATATTAGCTAAGGGCAGCCTGCAGACCAGTCATTCATTTCGGTGCATTTATAGGTCTGACCACTAGGTGGTATATGAGTACTGCTGCTGAATCTATTTTAATCTGATCTGAAAATGTGTTTGTTTTTTTTCAAGCATGTTTTTAAGATAATCACATGACAGACTTTACCTTTGTTTTATGTACACCCATTAATTATTTTGGAAAATGCCTGATGTCTTTATTAAAGAGATCTCTAAAGAGATATTGTGCATTATTGGTTGTTTGTGGTTTATATATGTTTGTGTTGGACACCACTGAGGATTTAAAAAAAGAAAAATAATGAATCTTCTATAAACACTGATTAATAGATTTAGTTCCTTGAAAACAAACATTACAATAAAAGCTGGTCTTACCTCTGCTGCAGCAGACGCTGGTGTCACACTGGCTGCCAGCGTCACACACAGCAACACAACACTGATCTCCATCACTGAAACACACACTAACAGGCACACACATTCATTCAACCATGCGCATGTTTACAGCTGTGCTCCAAAATGTCCTCAACACTTAAAGACCTTGTGTGAGATGTGAGAGAGGGAATGTTTTTCTGTTGCTATCAGTGTGTCACAGAACAATTAGAGACCACGAGATAAAACACCATGGAAAATAAACACGCAAATAGAAACAAGAGGAAGCAGAGTCTGATAGAAGAAGAAGAAAATCAAAAGTAGAAAGAGCCTGTGAGTGAGAGAAGAGGAGCAGGGGAAGCTACAGAGAACCAAACAATGTGTTTCTACCTGTTTATAGAGCGATTTCTCCACAAGATCCCGTCAAGTCACTTCCTGAAATCACAGGCATGCTGTGTTGGACTTTGGTCCCAAGTCACTCACTGACATGCTGCAGAAAATCCAGTGAGCACATTTCAGTCGTGGACATGGACATGGTTATTCAAACGGCCTTTCAGCACGAGGGAAGCAAGGAAGTCTTTGCACATTGTTAACCTTCAAATCAGGTCTATTTTAAAACAAACCATTAACATTTCCTAAATATAACCAAGTAGTTTTGTTGCCTAAAATTTCTGCCAGTAAGGATTTCTGTTTAGAAGCCTTAAAGGGGCCATAAAGGGGCCACACCTTACACAGAGGGGCCAGTTATATGTCCAACATCCAAGCTCAATTACTGATTCTGTAAGGTGTCTATTTATTCTTGTTTGCTGTTAGCTCTATAGCTTTGAGCTAAGGCACTCAGCGTTGAATATATTTTGAAAACTGTTTAAGTTCACTGTTTTCTTAAATAGTTACTAATAAATTGTCACATTTCTGTTAGTAAATTACAACTTTATTAAAAAAAAGATCACGGACAGGACAAGGGAACTTTAGGTGTCCATCGGATTTCAAATGGGGCCATTGCCTCCTTGGACCCACAGTGGGATCTGCCCCTGTTCAAGGTAGAAGCCTTTTACAACAGACTGGCATCACCCACAGGGGGTGGCTGTGGCTGTGGCTGAGGGGTAGAACGGTCATCCTCCAACCAGAAGGTCAGAAGCTTGATCCCCAGTCTTCCCATCTGCATATATATGAATGTGTGTGTGAATGGGTGAATGGCAAACTGTAGTGTAAAGCGCTTTGAGTGGTCATCAAGACTAGAAAAGGGCTATATAAATACAACCATTTACCATTACCCAGTGTCTTCATTCATTACTATGCAGGTTTTGCTTTCCACTTGTCATTTCATGCTGTTAAATCTCTACTGATTGATGTTGAGAGACTGTGTTCAAACCCCATATATCTGTAGACTAGGAACACAAAATGCCTTATTCACAGTCCATCTTCTGATGTCACATGGTTCACATGTGTTCAAAGCTCAACACAGTATTTTACAGTATTCTAATAATGAAGCTGTTCTTGTACAATGTGCTGAAAGATTTGAACACGTTTTCAAAGGGAGGATAATTTTTCAAAGAGGAAAACATTTCCACATTTTATCTTCAGAGTACAGGCCAGAATCATCAGTAGTCAGAACAACACAAATGAAAACCTTAACATCCTCTACAACTCAATTAGACCAGATGAGCTGTGAAATAACTGCAAACTACTTGAGAGCGTAAAAAGACAAAATCACCAAACACACAAAACTAAACCTCTTACTGACTTTCAGAGTCAAAATGTTCATTGAAAATAAAGACAGCTAGTCTTGAGTTATGGGGCACATCAGAAATAAAGAATGATGAAAAATATTGATCGTGAGGGGTTAAGTTTAAGTATCTGATGTTTTCAAATGTCTTTATCAGTTCTGATAGCAGACAGTGGATTAGGATATTATTGAGGACATATATCAGATCTGTGTTTACTCAGTCATGCGCCAATGTCAATATATATACAAGGCATTAGTGCATTCCTGAGTTAACCTTTCCTAATGAGCTTTACTGATCGTTATATCTGATAGTTTTTTTAATGGTTTACAACCTTTGAATCGTATGAATCTTTTTAAAGATGTCCGATCTGATGGTCCTTTGAGCTGCATCTTACAAATGTACAATGAAAGGCAGAATATAATAATAAATAAATTACAATATGATGCATTTCTGTCAAGAACCGATCATTTGATAACACACAGAATGAAAAATTTGTGGTGTTTTCTTTTGTTTTTCAAATTTTGAGGATATATAAATGTAACACAGTCAGTGTTTTGAAAAAATAAAGATGTGGTGTGATGTTTCCCTCAGAGCCGGATGTTGATTTCACTGCGGACACCTTCACCACCGGAGGTGCTCTCATTGCTGTCTGACAGGAAACCACTGCCTGTGGCTACTGTGGAGACGTTGTGTTCAAGCACTGTGATTCTCTGTTTCATTCTCAGCTGGGAAGAGTTGAACTCGCTCTGCAGACGTGCCAGGCATGTCTGGAAACAATGTTATTATCGGTTACATCATCATCATTGTAACAATGACAGTGTAACGTAGTGACAGTACCGACAGTAGCAGTGAACTGGTTGTTCTGACCTGCAGCCGATCCAGACTGGTCTCCAGCCGCTCCACTTTCTCCTCGAGCTCCTCCCCCGCTGACACATTCACTTCCTCCAGAAGCCCCTCCTTCCGCAGGACGTCCCGCCCCCTTTGCTCCAGCTGGGCCCGGGCATGAGGGAACTCTTGCAGTGCCTCCATGAGGTCTTGTTTGGAAAGGCAGAACAAATCGGAGTAACCCAGACTCCGAATGTTAGCTGTACGTCTGTTCCCCATCTTGCTGCCGCTGATGTTCAGGATGCTGATTTCTCCGAAGCAGCTCCCCGCGGTTAGAACAGCTAACTGGGTGACTCCATCCTCTCCCACCACTACCAGGCGGCCATCTTTAATTATATACATCTCCTTACCCACATCTCCCTTGGAAAAAAAAGACAGAATAAATAAGTAGGGGAAATTGTTAATGTATACATCAAATATTTACACCATCACTCACTGAACTAGTGAATCAGAGGAAAACAACAGATATATGTGTGTATATCTGTTGTTCAAGGTTGTCCTAACATTGACCATGTAATTGTAAAATTCCTGTTTCTATTTGGGACTGTCATCCCCCATCTTTTCCTACTATTGCTCTACTGACACCTATCTAAAAAGTGCAATAATAAGAGTAAAGGTCGACAACAGCAAAGATATTATTGTTTTGTCGCTGGTGCAAGCAGTTTTTCCTGTGAGGCCAGAGAAAACCAGGAATGCAGGTGTAATATTGGAACCCCAAGTAGGAGACAGGGTAACATTTTTCAAGTATGTGCTGGCAAACCGGTTTTCAGAGCGGTATCAATGGATTAAAGTGTGTGCAACAGTAACTACAGAAAAAGAAGTGGTACAACTGACCTTCCTACAAATGTAGTCTCCAGGACTAAAAACCTGTGGTCGAAGTTTTAACACCAACTCCACCAGGAGGCCTGCCTCACAGTCCTGGAAAATACGCACCTATGCACACAAACACACACAAACACACACAGACACACACAAAATAATTAATAATGGTAGTGGAACCTTTGTGTTATAACGGTAGGGAGAACCAGACATAAGAACCTTGAGCATGAGCAACAATACTGGCAACTTAAGTTAAACTCAAACATGTATTTCCTGTTTTGCTTCAACCTCCACCACGATCCATTGGACCTCTACAGGTCACAGTTCACCTCTATTAAACTTTAAACAAAAAGATGTGCTTGATCGACCAATAGAAACACTGAACCCCCCCTCTGTCACTATTTTGACAACATTTTCACACCAGCCTACAAACTGTAATGCTAATCTCATGGGAGGGGAACATGATTTTACCTTAAGAGTAATGTCTTTATTTACCATTGAGCAACTCAAATCTAATAATCTCTACAAAAACATACATAAGTGTAGAAGGGATTAGGGTTGGGCCACATTGACTGATTGTCTTTACCTTCTTCAGTGTGTCCAGGTGAACATTAATAGCAATCTCTGCTCGCAGTTTACTGGGCAGGCTCCTCAGCACTTCCTGTTCATCTATTGTCTTCTGATTGGTCCAGAGGTAGTCGAACCAGTGAATGACGCGTTGCTCTAGCACCTTGCTGACATGTCTGAAGTGCATGTAGTGTTTCAGCCCATCTACACGGCTCTGAAAAGTGGCTCTTGTGGCGTTCATGTTGGAGATCATGGATCCAACATTTCCCACAATGGAGGCAAAAATCAGGACACCAACCTGGAACAGAAAAAAGTCTAAACATTTGATAGACTGAAACAACCAGAATCTGACTTTCATGGACAATTGAAGCAGGGTAATATCAATAAAGGTAACTGTTGCTATGGTCATACCAGGAAGTCAAATATCAAGAACAGGTATTCTTCGTCTCTAACAGGGGGTGGTGTCTCTCCAATAGTGGTCAGAGTCAGGGTTGACCAGTACAGACAGTATATGTAACTCCTGCTCAGAGACCCAAACTCTGGGTCTGAGGCATTGGGATAAACCCATGAATCTGAGCCCAGGCCCAGGACCTTGGAGAAGCTGTAGTAACCACAGGCATTCCAGTGGATGATCACCAGGATGTACAGAACCAGTTTACAAATACGGAAAGCGTTGGGGTAGCCTGTTCGGGTCTCTGTACGTTCAAACAGCTCAAAAAGACGTGGCAGACGCAGGAGACGGTTGAATCGAAGAAGAGGAGTGTAGCTGATTCCAACAATCAGGTACAGCAGGTCGGTTGGAAGGATGGAACAGATGTCAGATTTACACTGTGAGGTTCGAACGTAGGTCTCTCTCAGGCGCCGCACATCTTTCACTATCAAGCCTTGGTCCAGAAAACCTTCACATACAATATAAACATTCAGAAAACCCAGGGCAAAGTTTCTTAATAAACATTTTTGTGTATGAATGGAGATTTAAGCTTTCTGATTTCAGTTTTGTCAGTCTACCTGTATGGAGGCGAACAGCAATGTCCAGGATATAGACTCCATCACAGACATAGTCCAGCACCAGCCACACTAAGAGGTTCCTCATCTGAAGCTCATCAAAACAGGCCCTACAGATACAGATACAGATACAGATACAGATACAGATACAGATACAGATACAACACTCAAGCACACAAAGGAAAACAAAGCAATGTGTTGCACGTGATTGCACTAGCAGTTGCTGTACCAATAGCAGCATGTTTAATAAGATGCAATGTTTTGCATCTTTAAGAGTTGCATCTTAAATAAGATGCAACTATTACCACTACTGCCCAATACTTAGATAATGCCAAAGCTCTTGAACTAATGTGACCAATGTCTTTTTCATAGACAAAGTCAAACATTTTTCTCACAAAGAAGATGATGAAGTACATGCATCTATACGATGACACCATTTGTATTCAAGGAATCAGATAACTACATCCCTCT